TTTACCCCAAAAGTTCACATCTCTCGGCTAGTTCATGTCCAACGCGCGTCTGTGGCACGCACAATTTATGCTGCCTCCCATCCCAGCCCGCACACCTGTCACGCCGGCGCATGACAAAATGCTGTTCCGACCCCGTCTGTAATTGAGTTTCCCCAGCGCTGGTAGGTGCAGCGGGCAAGCTTTGTTTAGGAGTATTTATTGCGCTGGGATCATCCACCAGAGCCTGATTTCCCATCCCAGAGTCATTACTCCCCTTGGGTGCTTTACCCCTTGTCCCTACTGGCACATCTGTTGCTGGCAAGCCCCAGACTCCCTCCCTGCCTGCCAGGAAAGGGCATCACCAGGGAAAGTGGTGCCTGCTCCCAAGACCCTTGGAAGACAAGGTGCCCTGTGCCAGCCACCTGGGTGCAGCAGCAGAGGCATTCATCCCCAGGCTGGTCTGGGCCATCATGCCCCTCTCTACTTCACTCACGCTGCTGCCCGGGCAATTGGGACAAGCCTGCCACAGATAAACAGAAGCAAGAGAAAGCGCCGAGTAGCCAAGAGGCCTGGGGGACTGGTGCCCCGAGCAGATGCGGCGTGTCGGAGCCGTCGTGCTGGGCAGACCCTCGGCGGGCCACCCTGTTACCCACAGTGTAATTACAGCAGCGCAACGGGCCTTGTGTCAGCCCGAGCCCATGCCGCGTTCCCGCAAGGCGTGATTGGCACTGTCAGAAAGATCTAGGCTCGCGATCCATAACCGTCACTCCGGCGAAGACATCTCCGCTCTGTTCCACAAAGTAAGTAACAAGTTGCCATGCCAACAGCTGAAGCAAGACAGGCCAGGGAGATGCAGTGGGCCTTAATAACATAGCACGGCGCCCGCTGGGAGACAGCGGGGTTGATTACTGCAAGGAGCCTGGGTAGGAGTGAGGGGCAGGGGTGGGGGGCTCCGAAGGAAGCGGGCTTGTTCACCATCCCTCCCGCCTGCCACGTGCTGGACCATCGAGCTCCTCGGGTCCTGGATCCAGCTGGCTGAGCTGCATTTCCCATGCTTGCTATGACCATGGTGGTTTAAACAGCGCCCTGCACGCCTCAAGGGGGACTTCCAGGCTCACTAACCCCCTCCACTGGCTCCAGAGAGGGACCCCGGCAGTGACCCTCCTACAACTCAGGGGCACCCAGCGCAGCAGCAGGTTGCAGCACTGCCAGCTGAGCGACAAGAGCCTGAGAGAGGTCCCTCCCGGGTGGGGGTAGCTCCTTGCATCTCTACCACGAGTGTGGAGGGGGCAATGCTGAGCTATCCATGACACTGCAGGTCTCCGGGCCAGGTCAGAGCAGCCGGGAGGCTGGGTGAGAGGCCGAAAGTGCTTTTTCCAGTCTCAAGGTGGAAAAAGGACCCAGACGAGCTCCCGCAGGCTGTTGCGTGGTGTGTGGTGCCCTCCAGTGGAGCAGAGCCCCCAGTGCACACATGGCATTTTGCTTCCTTCGTGGTGCTTTGCTGAGATCTTCATTGGGTCGGAGCAGCGGGTGCCAGCACTGCAGCGGTGCGCCCTCGGGCTGAGCTGGCATCTCTGCAGACTGCCTGCTTGCAGAGGGGAGTCCCCTATCTTGGATCTGCTCCCTCCTCGATCACTTGGAGCTGGATCTGCCCACCAGCCCTCTTGCCGGAGACTCGCTTTCTCATTGGCGATGGCCAGCTCTTTTGAGTGTTACTGGGGGAAATGTGGGACACGCAGAGAATGATCACCTTGTGCAGTCCCTGCAGACTGCCTTGAATTTTTTTTTTACAAGCAGAAAGTAGGCATTTTCATGCCAACAGGAGGCCTAGATTTTTGTAGGGCAAGGATTTGTGCACTGGAGGACACCATGGCTGGGCATGTTACTCTGTGCCTAAGAGGGGAGCCAGCCTGAAAAACCTAGTGTCCTGATGCAGACAAGGTTCTTTGGGTGAATCTGATATTTTTTATTAGACCAACTTAAACAGTTGGGGAAAAAAATTTTTGCAAGCTTTCGAGTTGCATTTTTGCCACACAAGAAGACCAACATGCCATGGGGCTAGCAGATCACTAGTAGTGGAAGGTGAGAGTTGAGATATAACTCGGCATGTTTTTCCCCCAATCTGATATCAAATCTAGTGTTTAGATCAGATCACATTTAAAACATTCAAAGTTGTTTAAAGTAGTGGTTTTTTAAGTTTAAAACAGTTTCCTTTTGTTCACTGTGGTATTTATTAGCTTTGGGTTTGTTTTTTCACTTTACTCCTTGTTACTCTGTTGTTTGTCTCACTTGGTTTGATTGGAAATTTTCAAATGAATGAACCTGCTCGTCTTGTTTTTGTAGGGTCCTTCAGGTCTGGTAAGGAGATCCGGAGTAGAAGAAAGAACTTCCACGAAGAAAGAAATATGCAAAAAAAAGAACTGTACTAGGAAAATGGAAACGTTTGCTTCTATCGGTAGAAATGGGGATCACTGTCAATACTGTCAAATGCTCACTTGGACTTAACTGGAACACCCTTCAGATGTCGCCGTGCTGTGGTCAGTTTGAGGGTTGAGCTGTTTGTATTCTTCCAGGTTGCAGATTTTGGTGGGTGTCCATCTTGATGTAAGGGGCACATTCAACCTGTTTTTCCAGATTTTTGGCTCGATGGATAAAGCTGACGGTCAGAATTGATGCTGTGGAAGTCCTTTGTCGGTGTTTTCCTGTTGTGGTGTTTTAGCAGCGATCGGTTTTTGTCATTGGTTAGAAGTTCAGTATTTTTGTGCTGCTTCGTTTCTGAGGTCTGAATTGAAACACTTGGGGTGGGGGTTTTATGCATGCATCTGGAGGTAACTTAGTGCAGGTTTTGAAGGTGCAGTTTGGTTGGTGTGAAAGTGAATTTATTGCAGGCGTTTGAAAGTGTCACCGTTCCACAAATCTTTCCTGGTTACCTCTGTTCTTCATATCTTAAGATGAAGAGGACAATCAACAAACGATGTTTCTCAACCTTCGGTGGTTCCTGACTTCTTTGTCTCAAGGCACCCCTCATTAAGTTCAAGGCACCGCTTCAGAAAATGCCAACTTAGTTTTCACTCACTGTTTGACTATGGAAAAAATAATAGAGCAATTTCTCTATTGCAAAGAACTCAGGCCACAACAGGTCAGAAGTGTTAGCATTCGTATTTGAAGTTGTTTGGTTTATCCTGTGAATCACGTTTGCACACCCAGCAGTGCTAACACCGCGTGTCATCCCATGGCACCCCTGAAAGGATCTCAAGACCGCCCAGACCACCCTGGCTGGGAACCACTGTTCGAGTCTTTCGAGGTGATTTAGTGTGAAAGACCACTGAATGTTTCAGGGCTCCCTTAAGCTTACTTAGCTTTTAAATGTAAAAAAGATTGTAAAAATAAGTAGCTTATCATACACACGGTAGTACCAAGAATATGTGGGGAAAGCCCTTAAACCTGTAGGTAATTATTGCATTAATGGAGAACGCTTGGCCATGCCCTTCACTGGTAACAACCAGTTGTTAAATGAATAAACTGTTTCAGTAGATCCGCTTATCCAAACGGGCAGCGCTCCATTCACTTTGTGACTGGCAGAACCATCTTGCATTGCTGAGCTCTCCTTGGGAGCGAAAGCTTGTCCACCTGCACTCCCAGCTGGATGGCTGGTCCAGTAAGATGAAGCCAGGGTAGATCTGCACCTTATGGAATAACCCAGGGGGATCAATCTCTGGTCCTCGGGCAAGGTGCAGCCCCTGGCACCATGTCATCCAGTCCATGGGGCTCCCCACGGGCCATAGCCACGTGTGCTAGACAGGCTGTGTGGGTGGCGCTGGGTCTGATCCTGATGCCAGGCAGCAGCAAAGCGGGGCCCCTGGAGCCCGATCCAGGGCAGGTGCAGGCAGCACAGGTCCCAGTCCAGCCCACAGCCCATCCCCATGCTGTTCATCAGGCCCATGGGGCTGAAACTGCAAGCGCCGCTAGATTCACCAAAGCAGACCTGTATAGCACAAGCTTCCCTGAGCCGCGCATGCGCCGAAGAGAGGCTCGGCCCAGGAGAGCTGGCGCTGTGCGTGTGCACACGCTTGCAGCACAAGCTTTCACGAAGTGAATCGCGCTTCATCAGCACCTGTCGGCGCGTGCCCCCGGCAGCTGGGCCACGGGCGCTGGGGAGGACACGCTTCAGATATCTACCCACATATCTATCGATACCTATATATCCGATAGATATGAGAGACAGAGATAGGCATTGATATAGCTAGATATATAACTAGATACAGATAGCTAGATAAACAGATATAGCTAAATAGCTAAATATAACTAGATAAATATAGCTAGGTATAGATCTAGGTAGATCTATATAGCTAGATAGATATAGGTAGATAGCTAGCTAGATAATATATGGATATATGGCTAGATATAGCTATAGATAACTAGATATAGCTAAATAGCTAGATAGCCATAGCTATACAGAGAGCTAGATAACATATGCATGCCTGCATATGCTACTTAGATACAATACAGATAGGTACAGCTATAGACATAGATATCTAGATCGATATAGCTACAGCTACCTAGCTGTGCAGACACGCCCGAGCCCCCGCGGACCCGCTCTGCCTACACGGGTCGGTGCCGGCACCGCCGCCCGCGCGCCGGGTACGAAGACAAACGCGGGACGCTGCGCCACGTCCTCCCGGCCACACATCACCCCGCGCATGCGCCGGTGCCGGGGCGGCCGTTGGACGCCAACCGCCCGCCGCGTTCGCGTCACCGCGGGGC